CATTTATTGCATATAACATTACTTGTAAATATATCATATTACTTTACTTAAAAAAATAAATATTTTACTAAAAAATTTTACTACATAATTTTACATTACATTTTTTACTAAAAAGAAAAAGAAAAAGAAGAAAATCATAAGAAGAAAGAGAATTATAGATACACTTAAAATTAAAAGCAAAATATATAAAAGCAAAATTAATAAAAAGCTAATTGAGATAAATTATAAAACTTATGCTAATTTTAGTAATAATAATTTCTCAAGTAGTGAATCTTATTACCGGTTTACAGAAAGAGAAAGTCTCGACGTGCGTCTTCTTGAATTTTTTATCCTAAGGAAACACATTTTGCATTTACATTTTTACAGCTTAACTAGGATGAGTCGAAAGTATATCCGGATTTTATGCGACAGTAAAGTGTACAAAAAGGTCATTGACCATTATATATCGTTTTGCAGCTATTGAATTTATTTTTCAGTATGATTTTAGTACGCTTCGTTAAAAACTGAATAAGTCAATGAAATAGTTTTATTTGAGATGTACGATATAAAAAAATTACTTTTCGTTAAATGACGAATATAATCTTATCAAGAACAATCAATTATAATTAATATAATATAATGCATAATAAATAAATTTCAAAATAAAATAGAATCAATTAATTTAAATTATTTTAACTAAAATCATGCAAGATACGTCATCATGCATAATACGAGCAATATTATGTTTTTATAATAATATAGTAACGAGAAATAAAAAAGGATAACACAGTTCAAGTAGATAAAAACCATGTTATTGTAACAAAATGATTGCTAATATTACCTATTTGTTTGATTTATTATTTTACACATAAAACAAAGGTTATAAAAATTAGTTTAACTATAATATTTAACATAATTGTAGAAATCCTCTTCCTTCTTGAGAAAACCAATTATACTCTTCTCTATTTCTTGATTATGCAACAAAATTATTCAGCTAATGAACCAAACTTGATTTTGTTAAATTTGACTGAAAATAGTTCACTTTACTGAATTCATTTGTCTTTTTTCTCTTTTTTCTGCAATATTTCTGTTTCAATTAATCCAATTTGAATACGTCATAAATATTGGGTTATCCGGAAAGTTCGTGCCGATTTTGAAGGAAAATTGAAACGTAGAAGATTTAAATTTTTAATTTCATTTATTAAATTTAAATCTTTTGCGACACGAACTTTCCGGACAACCCAATATAATACTTGTAGTTTTTAACTGAACTTCTTCCACGATTCTTCCCTCCTTTTTACTCCATGTCGAAGAAGAAAAAAAATAAATTATGCAAGAAGTTGAATTAAAAAGAAGTTTTATAGTTTTCCTTCAAATCTATTGCAAATCATATTAAAATCTATATAAACCATATTAAAATATCTATAGATATTTATACATCTATATAAATCTCTGATATATAAGTACAGATTTTTTTTTTAAGCGCGTAATTATCAGGCATTCGTATTACAGGAACTTTGGCTTTGATTACATTAAAGAAAGTTTCTTATTGTTAAATTTTATGATCAAAAATATCTGAAATATTGTATACCTTTTAATGTTCCTATTGCTGTAATATCTTTAAAATAGTAAAATGATATTTGTTTATGTCTTATAGAATAAGTTATTAATAAATCTCCTAATGGCTGTAACATATACTGGAAGGAAAGATCGAATATATATGTTTTCTCATAATCGTACTCACATTCGCTTCACGCTAGCAGAATTCTCATTAAAGCTCTCCGGTATTTCGTGTGCCGTTATGATCCAAGAGCCGGTATACTACTGACATTATGTCTACAGATCCCTTTCAGGTATAGGTGAACGGACAATATCGATATCCCCACCTTTCGCGGTGAAAAACGATGATGAGAAAATGGCCTTGATGCATAACTTTCTTGGACAACTTTGGACGATCCAATTTCACATGTTCTTGTTTCAATGAATAAGCTTGAGATTATTTCAAACTAGAGATAAAAATAACTAAAAAAAGATTGGAAGCTTTGATTAAAAGAACCTAATAAAAATTAAATAAATAATTTTTTAACCGATTAAAAGTTTTTTAATCAGATATGTATGTTAAATTTTTTGGACACACATTTGACGATATTATTATTCTAAAATTCAATAAATTTTGGAATTCAATGAATTTTTTGCATTCATCCAAAAGATTTCTGTATAAGAATAGCTGCAAATAATCAAAATGTAATATGACTAAATGACAATGATCATAAATATATGTTTATAATGAATTCACTCGCATTGCATTAAATTAATACACATTAAAAACTGCTTTATATATATATATATATATACATACATAAAATA